ATGATTGAATACCTTGAACTGCCAAAGATGACGGGGAAAGTAAAGGGGCTCTCAAACCAGAAAGTATACAAAGAATGGAAAATATTTAAAGATTACCTAAAAACATATTGTCCATAAGCTCCTGCAGCCAATCAAAAGCCGTGCCTTGGTTTGGTTTGGGGAATACAACTGCTGTCCCAGCAGAGTGGCATACATTGTGCTTGCTTCTAAAATATGGTTTCATATGTATTTCTGTTTACAGCCTTTAAAAACAGCAAAGTGCTGGTGAATTTCTGGAATGGGCAGACTAAGAACATGTCTGCAGATGTTGCTCTGAAGATCCCTCCTTCTTTGAGTGAACGCATCGTCCTTGAGCTTCAGATGCCATTAACCGCCAGGCAGATGTTAGTGGAGCAGAATCCAGATTATCCTTATGTTGTGCCACCTGGATACAGAGCTTCAGGGCCTTGCCAGCAGAGTTATTTAGGTGAGATGCACTGGGAAGATACTCCAAAGGACTGCTGTGTTGGTGCTGGCTGCAGCTCTGCCCATCACCCGCTTTGCCACTGCTGCTTCCAGGCTTGGGAGTCCTTTAGGTCTCCCATTTGCACAGTGCAACGAGATGATGCCTTGATCCCCGGAACCCAACTGACAAAGGAAGAACTGAGCAGGAAGATAGAGGAGCAGCTTTCAAAGGGAAGGCTTCCTATTTCAGGAAGTAATGAGAAGGAAGAGAGCAAGAAGCTGAAGGAAGCAGATGATGTTGCAGATTTAAAATCACAGGAAGAGATGGAAAGCAAGTTTACAAAACCAAACAAGGTATGTTGTCATGTCTATGACGGCTGCAAAAGTATTATAGTCCTTGGTCCCTTAATCTTGGGTAAGGATTTGTTTTCCCCCAGAGTCTGGTCACACAATGTTATAAACATTGTTGAAAAGACCAAGGATTCACTATCATAGATCACAGGCAAATTTCCAGGTGAATGTTGCCTTTATAATGTGCTATGTACCTATGTGATGATGCTGTAGAAACTCAGCACAGTACAGTAAGCTTTCCCAGCCCAACCACACAAAGTCAATTAGTGTTTCAATCACTGTCACTCTCCTGTGTGCTCTTTAGCTTTTTATTCTTTATTGATTTTACAGGACCATTCGAGAGAGGAAGTGTCAGAAGCTTCACAGGAAGGCCCTGGCACCATGGTTGATGTAGCCGTCAACACAGACAAATGCTTAACTCAGCATAAACAGCAAAGGCGAAGAGGTAGGCAGCTGTGATGAAGGCAATCTGGGATCTCACAGTGACTTTCCAATAGGTATTGAAATATAAGTGTATCAGCCGGCAGATTGACATAATCAGATTTATTGTTGGCACATCGCATGCTCCTTCCCCTTTCCTGTTTGCCAACCCCCAGGCTGCTCCTTGATACACAAACCAGCAAGTGCGCATTCAGCTTCCTCCTGCTAACAACCAGAAGAGCCCTCCTGGACCAGTCAAAGGCTGGTCTAGCCTGGCATCTTATTTCCCACAATGATTGACTAGTCACTTTCAGGTTTCTGTAGATTCGAGCATTTTCTTGAATGTGTCTCATCAGATCAAAGTCTTCTTATATCTGTGCCGTTATTTTTAATGACTTGCCTCACTCTAACATGGACTTTTCTTTCATACGGTAGCCCTTTCCCAGTTCAACAAAATCCCACTTTCTGCCCAGCCATGCCAAAGGAGTCCTTCTCGGAAGACGTACGCTGCAGATCCTTCCCAGCTCCAGGCAATCTTTAACTGGGTGGACCAGTCACTGAAGGAAGACTATTCTGCTGTGAAATCAGTTTTGCTCATAAGAAGAAGCCACAGTGCACCTCCCATACAGGTGAGGACACCTCTCTGTCTTGGCCTTTCTAAGCGAATGACCAGACCTGACTTACCTGAAGCAGTATTTCAGTGTTAGTTTGGAACAAAAGCCAATAAGAGATTAGTCCACTCCAGAGAAACCCATCCCAATATGATGGAATTCCTCATTCCCTTTCAGAGAATAGTGACAAAAGCGGTGACTCGAGATGGTCCAAGAGAGATAGGCATCAACACAGCCAGGATGGAGTTCAAACGTCAGAAGATGGAGCAGAGGAAGCTTAAGGAGGAGCAGAGGCGGGAGGAGGAGAACCTCAGAAGAGAACTGCTGCTTGACAACAAGAGGTAATGAAAGGAAAGGGTTAAGGGAACCTCTTCCATCCTAGAGGGGCCCCAGAAGCGACTTCAGTCCACATTGCTTAAAACTTTGGGGCGTAGCAGACCCTATTTGAGCCACACAACTCAAATTGATTAATTTTTTGCTGTATATATTTCAACAATCCCAACATTTGAGAGTCGGTAGCACAGTTGATGTAAAGGTGTTGAAGTACCGTGGTACAGCAATTTTAAGCAAAATCCGAGATGTAGTAGTAAATTTGTTTTTAAAATGTGGTAATCTGTTGTGGAACCCTATTGAAGAAGATGACAGTGGGTTACCCAGACCTCATTGCTGGTCACAAAGCCCCCCACCCTGTAACAGTCCAAACTTCAGGACCCCCAAAATGTAGGTCCGCCACTCCTTTAGGCAGATCCTCTGTTTTATGTAACAGGCTGAGCATGACAGACTAAATGGCACTTTACTTTCTCTGGAACTTCTTCAAAATAGGCAGAGGTCACTCCAGCGAACCTTGGAAGGCTCTCAAAAGCAACAGGAGAACATTGGGAGCTGGACCAAGTGGCATACAAAGAAGCAGCTGCAGGCTGCAAAAGCAGAGACAGGGAGAGGGGAATCCCGCTTCCAGGAAGACCTAAAGAACGAAGAGGAACAAAGGCTGGAGTTCTTAAAGGCACAGCGCAAGCAGAGGGAAAAGCGGCTGGCAGAACACCAGGAAAGAATTGATGAGCATGAGAAAAAAAGACTGGTGAGGGCTGTTCTCTTCTTCAGTTTCTCAAAATATTCTAATCACATGGAGCGAGATGACGAGCAGGGCAGGTTTACCTGCGCATCCAGAAAATCCACCTTCTGAGCCAAGGAAAACCTGACTCTGCACTCAGATAAATTAGGTCAAGCAAATGTATCTTCAGAACTGCTTTATTTGCACAGTGTACGTATTTTGACTGCAAATACGCTGTAAGGGGGGAAAGAGCTTAAAGTCCCTTTTTTGTGGCTTTTCTGCAGGAGCTGCTCAGGAACAGAATGAAATCCATGCAAAACAACTTGGAAGCCGCAGCTCAGGAGCAGGACACACAGAGGAAAGAGAAGGCAGCTGCCAAACTGCAAAAGCTCCGAAATCAGGACCGGATATCCCAGCAGGTGGAGAAAGAGGAGCAGAAACACAAAGACCTCCAACAGTATCTCAGAGAGCAGAGTCTCCTGGTGCTGCGTGCCTCACTGTTGCCATAAAAACACGGTCGTCTGAATAAGCCCACTTCTGGAACAAAGCTGCTGTTACTAATGTTTGTAGGTGCAAGGCAGTGTGATGTTGAGTGCCATAGAAATGGCCCATAACTGCTTGCAGGACACAGTTTTTTGGTGTCGTATCCACTTGCGATTTAACTGGTTCATAGTGGGTCTGCGTCGTGCTTCTGGCTGTTCCTGGACAGAGGATCAGCTGGTCTCACACCAGGGATCGCCAACCTTTTCAGACCAGTGGGCAGATGTCAATTTTGGGGAGAGCTGTGGGTACCAGTCACTAAATGTGGGCATGGCGTAATGCAAAATTAGAGAAAGCCACCCCGACCACCTTATGCTTAGCACAGGAAGCCTATTTCCAATGCTATTTCTGTTTCCAATGCTGTGCAAGCTGGAATGTGTGCAGAGGAAACCAAGCCTTATGACGAATGGTTGAGGGAGCTCGGTGTATTTAGCCTGGGGAGGGAAGGAGTCTGAGAGGAGATATGATAGCCATCTTCAAATATCTAAAGGGCTGTCACATGGAGGATGGAACAAGCTTGTTTTCTCTTGCTCTGAAGGGTAGGACTCAAACCAGTGGATTCAAGTTACAAGACAGGAGATTCCAACTAAACATACAGAAAAACTTTCTGACAATAAGAGCTGCTCAACAGTGGAATGGACTCCCTTGGGAGGTTGTGGACTCTCCTTCCTAGTTTTTTTTTAAAGCATTTGTCATGGATGCTTTCGTTCAGATTCCTGCACTGAAGAAGAAGAGTTTGGCTTTGATATCCCGCTTTATCACTACCCGAAGGAGTCTCAAAGCGGCTAACGTTCTCCTTTCCCTTCCTCCCCCACAACAAACACTCTGTGAGTGGGGGCTGAGAGACTTCAGAGAAGTGTGACTGGCCCAAGGTCACCCAGCAGCTGCATGTGGAGGAGCAGGGAAGCGAACCCGGTTCCCCAGATTACGAGTCTACCGCTCTTAACCACTACACCAGACTGGCTCTCCTAGATTAAACTAGATGACCCTCGGGGTCCAACACTACAATTCTATGACTCTGTGATTCTAATTGAAGTCTGGAGTTTCTCAGTGTCAAAAGTAAGCAGAGACCAGCAGAGCTGGCTCCCGGTTTTGAGGAGCAGCATCTTGGGCAAAATGCCCCGTAGCACCCACTAGCCATGCTGCCACCTGTTGCAACAGCAGCTCCTCCTCATCCGGACAACAGCACAGGACCAGGAGTGCTAACTGCATGGGGTGCCCAGTGCTGCCACCATGTAGGAAAGAAAGGATGGCTGCCTTGTTGCACTCAGGTCAGTATCAGGCTTTCCCAGGGCTCTGAGGCCTCAGCAGCTGCCCAAGGACACCAGCCTCTAAGGCCAGCCCTGCAGACCAGGTGGAGCAGACGCAGAACAGTTTCTACTACAGACCTTTCGGTGGGTAGTCCATCATATCAACATGGTGCAACAAGCTCAAGTTCAGCAGCAATGTTCAGGCATTTTTCTCTGTGGCTCATTGGCAAGTCCATTGTGTGTGCCGTGCCACAAGCAATACGTCACGGAAAAGCAGTGTGAGGGGCTGCCATCCTCTTCGTCTAAGCAATGCTGAACCACACAAAGGGCCTCTTCCCATTCAAAACTGTTTATTCATAAACCCAGTTTCCCCAGTATCAAAGGTGACATTTAGAACCAAGTCGATCCATTTGTAAAAACAAGGTATTTTTTTAATTCCCCATGTGGACAGAAGCAGCTGCTTAGCAGCATAAGAGCAAAGAGCAAGATGGCATTTCAAACATGTCATGTTCCAAACACATTTTAGACAAATTTAACAGAAGATAGGCAAGATTCTTATCATGCACCATACCAATATTAACTGAAGAGTGCTTGCTTTTCATACTGAAAGTAGTTTGATGTATAAGCTGCCTTTACCTTTCCAGTTCTTGGCAATGGAGCAAGGCAAGTGCTGAGGCTGTAAACAGGCATGATGTCCTTAAAGCTTGCAATATTTGTGAGATGGGAATAGTCTCTGGTAGGCTCACCTATCTAGAGGTGACTTGATAGGGCGCCCAACCCACGCAGGGCTGTAATTTCCTTTGAACTACAGGAGAACCGCATTCCCTAAAACCACCTGTGGCTCCCTTCAGACCTTGCTGTACCCCAACTCCCATTAGTCCCAGGCCAGCACAACCCAATGGTCAGAGATAATGGGAGTTGTAGTCAAGCAATGCCTGGAGGGCTACAGTTCCCCCACCCCTTGCCGTAATGGGAATAGATATCAATTATCACAATGCAAATAGAGATGTTTCAGCCCCTGAACACTTCTGGTCTCAATGTGGATAAACTGAACAGCAGTTCTCAGCCAAGTCTTCCGGTTTTAAACGTAGAGGTTGAAAGCCACCTGACTAGTAGCAAATGAGCAGTTCTTTAATGAAAGGGCCTCAAAAGACCACCCTAACCAGTGTCCGTCACTGTGCCAGGAGGGGACTTGGAGCTTTGATTAGAAAAGGTTTAGCTGCCTTGAGGATATCCAGTTCAGGGTCCAGTGAGCGTCCAAGGCCTTCCAAAACCATAATGGCAAAGACCACAGAGGCAAAGTTGCTCTCCAGCTTTACCTGGAAGCACAAAAGACAGCAAGAAGGTAAAAGTGGATCATTGCTATTTGGAAATCAGTACCAAGTCTTATTTGCTCTGCAAGGCAAGAAAGAGATTACAGTTTATGTGCCCACATATTGAGATCCCTAACAATGCAAATATTTTTTCCCCTGTTGCTTTCATTGATTATTCTCATATGTTCACTGATAAACACTTCTAACATTTAAACCTAGTATCCTTATACATTCTGTTCAATCCAGCTGGCTGTGTAGAATTTCCAGTGTGTGTGTGGATGGGGAAGAGGAGCAAGGAAATTCAATTTAACTTACACTTCTGGATTTCAATGCACAACATAGCAGCTTCTGAGCACAACACTGACTCATTTTTAAGGCTTTTTGGCGCTTTTGAATTTTAGACTAGAATTAGAATATGCAATCTTTCAAGTTTTTTGTTCCATTAAATTTCCCATTCCAAGTAAACTCTGGTTAAACATCCTTCAGGTGACATGGCCTGGTGCAGCTGTGAAGAAGAATAAACCTAACACAGAGATGATCTCACCTGATGCGTCATCAGTAACTTGAAAACACTGGACAGCAGGCTTGCTACTTGGAACTAGAATGAAAAGGGGTTTAAAATGTCATTCATTTCATTCATCCAGACACTGTAACTGCAATAAATGGTCTATTGGCCTGATCCAGGCTCTCATTATTACATCTTGTTGTCTGTGATACAAAGATATAAAAATCTAGATATATTGCATTTATTAATTCATGTATTCATATATTTGCACTGTATACTCATATTAGAATATTTAGAATTATATATAGTGTCGGTTTAACAAGAGAAGAAACAGTAATTGTTTTTCATTGTTTTAATTTTTGGAATTTGTTGCATGCATAATAAAATTATATATATCAGTGTGTGACACATGCATATCAGAAATTGTACACCTAGAGGTGGGATTATCACTTACGGTAGACTTGAGCAATCTGTAGAATAAAGCATTTTCTACTTTGAATTATCGCGCAGCAACTCGAGAGAGACGACCAAGCTTTGATGTGGGCTACTGACCTTTCCCAAAGCTACAGTGCTGTCCCTGGCCTTTGTCACCAGCTCTGCCATGTCAGCTTTGAATCTCTCCACATCCTTGCACCGGTTAGCTCTGGAGTGGTGAAGGATTAACTCTGCCACTCTCTCCCCCTGCGGAATAAATCAGGAAGCCTATTCAACTAAGCAAGACTCAGGTGCTCTTCCTCACTGAGCAAAATTTACAGAGACAGAGCTTCTAGTCTAGTTAAAATAGGGCTGAGCTTGAAAATTATTGCAAAGGAAGCTATTCTGTGAGGATACAATTGGAAATGTTTTGTTTTGTTTTACAACCTACATTGGCTCCCAGTACATTTCCAAGCACAATTCAAAGTGTTGGTGCTGACCTTTAAAGCCCTAAATGGCCTTGGCCCAGTATACCTCAAGGAGCGTCTCCACCCCCATTGTTTGGCCTGGACACTGAGGTCCAGTGCCAAGGGCCTTCTGGCGGTTCCCTCACTGCACGAAGCCAAGTTACAGGGAACCAGGCAGAGGGCCTTCTCAGTAGTGGCACCCGCCCTGTGGAACGCCCTCCCACCAGATGTCAAAGAGAACAACTACCAGACTTTTAGAAGACATATGAAGGCAGCCCTGTTTAGGGAAGCTTTTAATGTTTGATGCATTACTGTGTTTTAATATTTTGTTGGAAGCCACCCAGAGTGGCTGGGGAAGCCCAGCCAGATGGGCAGGGTATAAATAATAAATTATTATTATTATTATTATTAGATTATTACAATCAAGCGGTTTACCAATTTTATGGCATAAACAAATAAGAAAGAAATATACTCTGGGTGGAATTCAACACAGCGCTAAGGAGATTGTTCAATCAGCACAAGCATTTCTGCTTGCCCAATGGAAGCATTTTCCTTCTCCCCAATCATGCTGTTTTGTGAGATCTCCAAAGCCTCTAGAGTGAATTATGGGGTGGAGGAAGCCCCACTGCATCAGCAAGAGTCCCTGCTCTGGCTTCTGCTAGCAGAACAGAGTAGCTGAATCCAGCCCTAGAAGCTGCCATGTCCAGCCCAAAGCCGAACAGGATCTCCATTACCAGCTGCTATGAGAAATGGTTGAAAAGAGCTAATACCTGCCCTAATACCACAGCCGTGAAGACCGCCCGGAAGTTCTTGAGATCTGGACCCTGCAGCTCTGCTATGATTCCCGCATCCAGAAGCACCAGGCGAAGTGGGGGGCGAGAAGGCTGCACTTCCAGAATGAGTGTGTCCAACAGGTCCACAATGGTGGTCCGGTCCTCGGGATGATCACGGAAGCCCTCTGCGCCCTGGACCAGGATATTCCCAGGGTGCAGGTCAGCATGGACAAAGTTATCAACAAACACCTGAAGGAATGAAAAATCACAACTTGGCTGAAAAAATGGCAACCCGAGAGCTTCTCAAATCAATGAACTAATTTATTAAGAGGGCAGGCTCTTGGTGAGTAGTAGGATATTTTGCTCTGCACATTTAACTCCTGGGTTTAATCTCTGGGATCACCATATCAAGGCTGCCAGGAAGTAACAGGGCTGGGAGATACCCACTACCAGACAGGGGAGACACTGTATTGAACTGGGCAAGCAGGAGCTGCATTAAAATGTTGCTGCGTGGAATGCTTCTGTTTGCAGTTCAGCTATTCACTCCTCTACAATCCTCCATTCCATTTCTCCCACCCAGTTTTCTAGGTCTACTCACCACACAACATGCCAGCAGCATTTCTTGAACTGTTTTGGGGTTCCCTCACCCCTTAGGCTTTTCCTACTAAAGGTTTTGTTTATTTTTTTATTTCCACCACCTTCGGGGTTGCCAAAAAGCCCCTCTCTTGTGACTGGGTGTTGTCATTTGGGCTCGTGTAACTGAGGGGCTTTCTGATCAAAAACTTGAAAATTCATACAACAGATTCTTTGCCTTGCAGGCTGACTGCAGAGGCAAGTCAATCCTAAATTGCAAACCAACCAACAGAGGCCTCTTACCATCTTTAGAATCATGTCCATACCCATCTGAGCTATTTTCCAGCGCAGCTCCTTTGTGGCCTCAGTCTGCAGGTACTGGGCTATGGGTGTGCTCTCCTGAAGCAGAAAGAACCTAAATCAGGAAAGCCCTTTGAGCTTGTCAGGGGCACATTAATAAGCCTTTTGGAGGACAATGGGGATACTTTTTAAGGGGGGAAGGAGACCAAAGGGGAAGAGTATACTCTGTTGCTGACCACCTGACATGATCAAGCTTTCTCCTCCTACTGTCATTCATGAGTTTTTAAGGCTGCAAAGTCTCAGCCCCTCGTGCTAGTCCTGCACAACATAGAAATGTTATTAGGGTTTTTTAAAGACTATTTACAGAAATATTGCAAAATTAATGAATGTTAGAATGATGTTGGATTGAAATTAAGTGGTTTCTAGCTGTAATGGTATAAAAGAATATGAAAAAATGGTTTTTCAATAGGTAAAAATTTAATGCTATAATAATTTAAGATTAAAGATCAAGATAAAATAAAGAGGAAAAGGAATTGCTGAACTAATAAATTGAACTGGAATACAAAAAAGGGAGGTATGAGGAGGTCCGGGAAACAAGTAAATGAAAAATAAGTGATGAAAAGATTGAATTGTTTTTAACTATTTTTATTTTGTATTTTTTCTTTTTTCTTTTTCATTTTGTAATATGTAAAAACCTTAATAAAAATTTGTTTTTTTAAAAAAATGTTATTAGGGTTTTGTAGCCTTCTGAGGCCGGAACACTTTTGTCAAGAGTGATGATCGGCAGAAGTGACACTGCTCTGTGCACCCCCTTTTTCACACCCAAACTGCTGTGAGGGTGTCAACTTTATTAGGCAGCCCAGCTGCTCACAAAGGGGTCTGCTTGCTAGGCCAAAGAAACCTCCTGCTCTCCTGCAGCTGTCCGGACAAAAGGTAAGCCAGCTCTCCCTGTCCTGCACATTCCACATTCTCACCTCATATGTTTCCACGAGGATGTTTCTTGTCACGAAAGGGCGAAGAGGAACTGGGAACTTCACATAATCCACAGCCTGGAAGTTAAGACGGAAGCGTTCCAGGTTCCTTGCTTCATAGCGCAAGTCAATCTAAAGAAACAAACTGCAGAGAATCAAGAGCAGTGGTGCCCATTGGGGCCAAAGACAGGGAGTGAGGACCCAGGCAAAGACAACTATTTCTAGTTTTGTGCCCATCCTCTTCCCTGCTGAGTTGTACAAGGACAACACAGGGATGGAGGAGGAGGAAGCTAACAAGGGAGGGCTAGTAAGAAGTCAGGCAAGTGGGAGCTGGCCGAGGGTAGGCAGAAATTAAGGTGCAGAGCCCCATGAACCAGCCTCCACTGATCAAGCAGACCCCAAACCAAAGTTCTTCCCACCTGCTGAATCATTAGTTTCTCAAACTCCTCCACAATCTCCGTCAGGCTGAGCCACTTGACCCCCGGGAGAAGCTCAAGGAGTCGACTGCCAGTCTTCATCAGAAACAGATCCATTTGGACCTGGTCAGCTAATCCGGGGTGCAGCACCTATGCAAACGACAAAAGGTAGCTGGATAATTCCTGATTACATGCAATCGTCAAGCCAGTCAGGATGGGTAACCTGTGCCCCTCCAGATGTTGCTAGACTACAGCTCCCATCATCCCCAACTACTAGCCGTGCTGGCTGGGGCTGATGGGAGTTGGAGTGCAACAACATCTGGAGGACCCCAAGTTCCACACTCCTGTTTTACAGGGATAAGGTGACCAGACTGAACTGAAGATTCACAAGAGCAAGGGGGAACTTACTAGTGGATCATGCACCTCATATTATGAGCTGCCATTGGCTGCCACCAGTGGGGAATCCAGCTGATGCTTGAGAAAGGCCAAAGCTCAGTAGAGCACAGAAGGTCCCATGTCTGATCTCTGCCATCTCCAGGTAGGTCTGAGACAGATTCCTGCCTTAAATCCTGGAGGGTTACTGCCAGTCAATGTTGACAATACTGACCAATGGTCGGACTTAGGGAGCATATTATATATCATATCATATCATATCATATTATATTTCTATACTGCCCTTCAAGGGTCACAGGGTAGCTTACAATATAAAAACAAAAAATACATATCATAATAACAAACAAAAACAATAACACCCACCACCACCCACCCACAGTTTAAAAGGCCATAAATTGAATTATCCAAAGGCTTAGGAGAAGAGGAATGTTTTTGCCTGGTGCCTAAAGATATATAATGAAGGCAGTAGGCTAGCCTCCCTGGGGAGAGCAGTCCCCAAACAGGGAGCCACTGCAGAAGAGGCCTGTTTTAATGTCGTCACCCTCCAGACCTCTCATGGAGGGGTGCACACGAAGAAGGGCCTCAGATTATGATTGCAGTGTCTGGGTCAGTTCATAAGGAGAGGCAGTCCTTGAGGTAAATCCATCTTGTCAACCTTTTCCTAATCACCACTACCATTTTGGACCTTTTCCTTCCAAGAATATGAAATGGTTTGAGTATCTGTTAAGTCAAATGGATAGCTTAGTTGGGTAGAGCATGGTGCCAAAATACCAACTTTGCAGGTTCAGTCCCCATAAGGGACACCTGCCTATTCCTGCACTGCATGGGGTTGAACTAAGATGATCCTCCGGGTCCCTTCCAGCCCTATGATATCTAAGTCAGAAGTCAGTCATACTAAGTGCAATAGGACTAACTCCGAGCTAAGGAAGCACAGAATTGTGGTCTTACTTTAATGGCTACTGGAACAAGGCGGTCCCTCTTGGGACAGGATAAAGCTGTGTCCAGATATCCAGAAACAGAATTCTGCTTAACGTGTCCATCAAAGCCATTATTGGGAAGCAACCGACGGACACCACCTCCTTCAGAAATGCTTCCATCCTTCCTCTTCCAAAGCCACCTGAGGACTCCCTTAAGACCAGACACCTGCCAGGCTTCCAGAGCAGACTCCACCGCAGTGCCCTTGGAGAGTTCCTTCAGCACCGGCTGTCCAAGAGCGGAGATGTCCACGTAAGCTTTGTACACCTGGGCGATGCAGCCAGACCCAACGGGTTCCTGGCTGTCAAAGGTGAAGACCTTTTCCCAGCCTTCCCCCAGATATTTCCCCAAAGAACGTTGGGTGTAGCCCCAAGGGTGAGGGACCACCTTGATGTGGAGCTTGGAGAACCTGGCGCAGAACTCTTCGGAGAAGAGGTCCCTCCTTGTGCTGGCCCACTGCCCCAGTTTGATGTAGGTGGGGCCCGAAGACTCCGTCGCCTTGAGCAGAAGACGGAGCCAGAGCGATGCAAAACCCGGGGAGATGTAGCTCAAGGGGTAAAGCCAAATCAAAGGCCCGAACTTCAGCAGGAGGACGCAGGCTCGGATCGCGAGGGAAAAGGCTAGTCCTAAACGCTGGAGGAAACCAGCTGGAGAAAGGCCTCCTGTGTTGAGACAGGCATCTCCTTTTATTTGGGCTCCTCCATTGGGTGCCCCTTCGCACCTTGCACCCCAAGGTAATCCCGCAGCCCCCCAGCACACCAGAGAGGTCTTTACCAAGGCTTTGCATGGAAAGCAGCTTGGAGCCTCCCCAGCGAAGAACCAGAGACAAGGCCCCCTACCCCATGTCCTTCCTGTACACAGAGAGCTTCTCACAGTGAGGATTCTGGCATTAGAAAGGAAAATCCGGACAGTGGAATAGCAATACCATGTAGTCATAGTCCTGGAGACATCAAGGAGCAGGAGGGAGATGCCTGGAGGGGGCGCTGCTTAGGTTCCCGTCCCCCACTTTGGAAAACATTTGAGAATTGACTGCAGAACGAGTTTACAAACAGGCAATCGGCAATCTTGAAACAGAGGCGGTTGCTTCGTCGCAAAAGGGAGACTCCCGCCTACTCCCTAAGCATTTCAGCACATGAAAATCTGCTTTTACATCATTTAATCCCAGGCATGAACGGGCGTGGTGGCATCATCATCCCACGGCCTTTCACCCATCAGCGATCCTGGAATCCATCAGCCCGAATTTCATGCAGGGTTAACGAGATCAGGAGATGCAGAGGTCACTGGATCCACTACCGGGGCGTGACCAACGAAGACCCGCGTTGCCACGGGTTCGTCTGGATTTCACTCATCACGAGTTAGCCTCCCTTTTTGTGCGCTTGGTCTTCTTCCGCGGGAACCCGCTCATTTATCCGCTGCTCCTCGTCGGTGTCGTGAAGAGCAGAAAGAGGAGGTGGAAATACTCAGCATCATCAAATCGCAACTGTGAATCTGAGCTGGACCCACAGCCGGCGGATTGAAGGCTCCATCCGTAGAACTTCCACGTGCTCTTCGGCCGGCTTTGCCTCGCGTGGGAGCGGATAGAACCAAAACGATACACAACGTTCCAGTTCCAGGGACTTCCGCAAAGGCAGAATTGCGGGGCGGAGACTCCGCCTCTTAAAGATACAGCGCAGATGCAGCTGGCCAGAGCTTGGGAGGCGGCCACAGTAAATCCCTGCAGAAGCAACGCGATGAGGGGAAAAAGCAGCGGCATTCTGGAAGAAAGGAATGTCTCTCGTTTTAAAATAAAAGCAGTGCACCTGATCATATGCATGTCCGCTTACAACTAGAGTTTTCCAATAAATTTGAGTCTTACTGCTTAGGCCCCAACCGAGATCGCAGTTTTCCACTGCTGGCATTTCATATTAGCGCAGCAAACTAGGAAGATTGTATCATCGCCAATTGTTGCTGTGGCGAATGGCCAAAGAGCCTTGCATAAACTTTCGCTTACGGTAATCGGTTTTTCATTCTACTGTAGTTACCCTGATTTATGACTCTTGCATACGCCTTCTCTCCTAGCCAGCTGTCGCGTGCTTCCACAGGCCGTGTATGGAATTATTTAAAATACTGTTTTCATTTGAATGGGTGCTACTACAACCTTCACAGACTATACGTGCGACGGAATACGGCATTGGTCACTGGGGGTGGGGGGATCTCTCCTTATTAGAGAAATGCGGTCTATGATGGTTGCATAGGAGCCAACTCTAAGGGGGCCGAGGTCCCTTCGCCCCCCATCCCAATAAAATATTTGAGGGGGTCTGGCCCCACCACCAAAGTTGATGGGCATTGCCATTCAAATAGTGTGTGCACCGTGTCATGTGATCGATTAGGCGAAATGGGACTTACCTGCCCCCCCCCCCATTTTATTCAAATTGGCCCCGCGGGATGGTTGTAAGTTTAAGCAACCGAGCCATAGGATGAGCGTTTTTGTCCGTTTCAGATGCCCTTCCTTCCAGCTCGTATGTTTGCAGGGCGTTCTCTGGTGTGATGCAATGCGTTGAAACTCCTTGTTGACGTTATGTATTTCCTTTGTCACTCAAGCCTGGAAGTATCTAGAGTCAGCCGCTGCTGCCCACTGAGCCACATCTCTTTCTACAGGGAGAATTGGGATCTGGTTTTGGCCCCTTGCCTTCAACACCCGAAAAGTACTACTGTACTGTCAGTCAGTGCAAACGACTGCTTTAAAAAACGGTGTTGTACAATAGATGTATGGCCACTAGATGGAAGCATAGGCAGCCTTTTGAATTGTAGGACTGGTTTTGTTTCCAGGTGCTGAATTGTTCTGATCAGTTAGACCTCCAGGGTTAATTTGCCCCCCTCTAATGAAAAAAGTGGGGACGTGGGTGGTGCTGTGGGTTAAACCACAGAGCCTAGGACTTGCTGATCAGAAGGCCGGCAGTTTGAATCCCCACGACGGAGTGAGCTCCCGTTGCTCTGTCCCTGCTCCTGCCAACCTAGCAGTTCTAAAGCACGTCAAAGTGCAAGTAGATAAATAGGTACCACTCCGGCGGGAAGGTAAACGGCGTTTCCGTGCGCTGCTCTGGTTCGCCAGAAGCGGCTTAGTCATGCTGGCCACATGACCCGGAAGCTGTACACCGGCTCCCTCGGCCAATAAAGCAAGATGAGTGCCGCAACCCCAGAGTCGGCCACGACTGGTCCTAATGGTCAGGGGTGCCTTTACCTTTTTAATGAAAAAGGTATCTTAGCTTGGGGCCTTCCCACCCTCCCACATCCCACTGTAGGGACAACACACCTGCTGCCCTTGCTGCCTGGAGCTGATAAGACTTGTAGTTTCAAAGGCTGCAAAACAGCCACAGTTTTTTGAAGGGACGATAGCTTCAAGGATGCAGAAAATCCCGAATCTCTCAGGCAACAGAAGAACTCTTCTGGCTCCTGCGAGTCAAACTGAGATGCCAGTTGTTCAACATAATATACTGCCTTTCGTAATGTTTCCCAGCAGCAATCATTCAGGGCAGGTTCCAGCAATGGGCCAGTGGGCCGAGGAACTCAGACAGACCCCTCACTGGCCCCAGCCCAATCCTGCCGACCGTGGGAGAATCGGTGTAGCAGCCTGGGCCCTGTGCTTTATGAGGCCCCCATGCTGATAATTGCCACTGCTGGATTGGTGCAGCTGCCGCTACCTAGAAGCAGGGAACCTCTGAAAACTGATTGCATGGAATGAACTGGAGGTTTAATAACTTAAATCAAGCTAGTTGCTCAGTTAGTTAGAGCATGGTGCTGATAAGGCCAAGGTTGCAGGTTTGAACCCTGTAAGGGAGAGCTTCATATTCCTGCATCCAAGGGGGTTGACTAGATGATCCTCAGGGACCCTTTCAATTCTAAGATTCAAGCCAAATCTCAGTTACCTTGTTCTGGAATATAACCTTGCTGGTGCCCCAAATTATTTATTTACATTATGACCAGACCATTTCCTGATTAAAAATATTGGGAATCAGAAAAAGATCAGCAGCAAGATGACAAGTTCAATGCACAATATATTTTGTTTCCTCTACAGGGTTCAGCGGTCATTTATTTTCTCTATTTTATTTCTGTTTCTCTATAGCAATATATATTTCTATATTGTCTCGTATTTACACTGCCTTAGTTGTATTCAGAGTTGACCTGTTGAATTGATACTTAGTAATTTAAATTCATTTATTTTAATAGACCTACTCTGAGTAAGACATATTTGGCTATCACTCCAATTATTAAACACACCAGCACACAAAACCACCAAAAAAGCTAACCAGAGAGAGAGCTAAAATGCTAGTTTCACATTGAAAAAACTAAACAGCTGTGGAGCTCCAGAGCAGATTCTGGGAGTGTTCCAGGGGAGGAAAGAAAAGTGGCCTTTAATAAGCATATAAGGTATTAAAAATGAGAAATGACTCTCCACGAATGCTGCTGACTTACAGCCATCACCTACAGTTAGTGTAATAGAGGCTGTCTTCTTTCTTGTGCTTATCTCTGCCAGCAAAATACAGAAAAAGAACAGGCTTTCCCAAAGAACTTGTTTCTGTGTTGTGTCAAAGGCTAGTCGATGCTCCTTTTGTAAAGCACAAAGGCCCTGGGGGTGAAAACTATACTCCGTATTGTCAGACACAATGGGGTCTTTGTCTGTGATGTTTGGGTCTCTTGGACACTGCTCTATAAAATAGGTCTAGAATGCTGCTACACAGAGCTTGGATTCATATAGGCATGGAGAAATGCCATCATCTTCCAGCAACATGATGGACACAATCCACCAGAAATGTATCCTGTGCCAAGAATGGGAATTCCTATGGGTTGCTCAGTGAAATAATTTTTAGACGCTTACCAAAGGTGCCGGGGGGGAGGGAGGGGAGAGGGTGACTGTTTAGATGGTAATGTGTATTACTTCAGCATATTTGTTGTATCTTAATTCTCACACCCCATCCTGGTCCTCTCAGAGGCTTAAAGAAGTCCTGGCCTTTTCTGGCCTCTGAGGCCCCCAAGCCATAATAAATGCTGCCACGACACTCAAAAATAATGACACTCAAAAACAAAATAAAGCACACAAAAAATAAGAAGAGTGAAACACAAATTGATCTTTTTAATTAAAAAAAACAACACCAAATGCTTTTCTAGCCTTTTTCTGTTGAAATGCATTACTTGTTAAGGGGAAATCTTGCTTTCCTGCAATGTCAAAGTTAATATTAAGCATATGATAACCTCTGCATCAGTTAACATAAAAGTTCTCTTTTACCAAATCACATCTCTTACAGTATTTGCTTAAATTTGTAGCTCTGGATTGAGAGGATACCCCAGTTTGATCTGATACACATAAAAACAAAGGGGCGCAGGTGGCACTGAGGTCTAAACCACTGAGCCTAAGGCTTGCTAATCAGAAGGTCGGCTGTTCGAATCGCTGTGACGGAGTGAGCTCCCGTTGCTTGGTCCCGGCTCCTGCCAACCTAGCAGTTCGAAAGCACGTCAAGTGCAAGTAGATAAATAGGTACCGCTCCGGCAGGAAGGTAAACGACATTTCCATGCGCTGCTCTGGTTTGCCAGAAGCGGCTTAGTCATGCTGGCCACATGATCCGGAAGCTGTACGCTGGCTCCCTCAGCCAGTAAAGCGAGATGAGCGCTGCAACCCCAGAGTCGGCCACGACTGGATCTAACGGTCAGGGGTCCCTTTACCTTTACATGAAAACAAGTTGCAGAAATAATCAAATGGCAATAAAATTAAGAAGTGTCTAATTTTGAGGGTCTACTTGAGGCCCAGGATCCAAATTGCCCTTCTGCCCCCAGCCATTCACCCTGGCCCCACCCTCAACTGTTACACACTGTTATTGAAAGCTCTGTTCTGCCTTTCCTCTGTAATACTTCTGTCCTCCACTGATAGAAAAACCAGAAAGGTGTAGGAATGAAAAATCACGGGAGACGAGAGAGGCAGGTGTAGCTAGGCGTCTGTCAGGGCGGACCCTGAGAGCCTATTTTATTGAATATTGCAAGCATTGCCACAGGTGGGCCTGTGGCTGATTGGTTGATACATACACACAGAAACTTGTGATTGGTTAACATAAGTACTAAGGCGGGAATTACATGTGAAAGGTGGGGATTACATGTGATCATTTATCATTGATGGAGAGAAGGCTGAGAATCGGAGTTAGAACTAGACAGGCATGAAGCCTCCTAACTGAATTGTAACTAGGGATTAATTGGCACAAACAATATAACAATCGGGTTCTATAGTTATGGTCAGCTAGGCATGGAGAGCAAGTACAGTTTGTTTTCCATGAGCTTGGGATGTCTGTTACTTAATGATTGATCATAGCATGTAACAATGTAATCAGGTTCTGTAGTCAGCTAGGCGTGAAGAGCAGGTTCGCACAGTGTGTGCAAAAGCAGGGAAAAACCTAGAGCAAGACTTCTCAGAAAGCAAGAGAAAAAGAGGAGCAAAACTTCCCCAAAATGGAGCAGTTTTATGCAGAAAGAGACTAACAGTTATGTGCAGAAAGAAGACTTCCCTTTAGAAAGGTTTTATTTTGAAGTATGCTAGAAAAGTAGAATAATCTTACCACTGGTTATCAGTGGGGTAGAAAATACCCAGCAGCTGTGTTTACAATGGCACACTATGCATTG